TGTTGAGATAAGAGACAGATCCGGGACCGCCGAGGGCACTACATTAGCAACACTTAATTTTCTCTCTTGCTCTCTGGGATTAAGTCCTTTGAAAAGAATGATGGGCTGCTGGCACCATTTCAGTCCTGGTCTTACTTACTCTCTCACTGGTTGAATCCCAATGATACTTATCATCTAAATGCCCTAAAGATGATATTCCACCATCTAAAAAATTCTTTCCATTTTCCTGGCTTTCCATATCTCACTTCCTCCTTGAAGCTTCCACAGATATTCCACAGGGAGCCCTTCCCTTTCTGAATTTCTCTGGGCTTCTATAGAGCATCCTTTTGGTCTTGGGAGGTACCAGTGTGGTGCTTGTCAGAGCAACTCAACTTGCAGCATGCACTCTAGAGGGGTTTGAAACCTGTCTGCTAGCAGTGTGACCTTGTACAAGTTACTTAAACCCCCAAGGCGACCTCAGCTTCCTCATCTGTAAAATGGGGATCGTCATTATGGTCTCTACCTCACAGGATTCTTACAAGTATTACATGAGTTTATATTTTTAAAGTGTTTAAAGCAGGGCATGACCCAAAGTAAGCAGTGTGTGTGTGTGTGTGTGTGTGTGTGTGTGTTTAAATTAACACTCCCTCACCTGATGTTGTGTTCCCATCCAACATCACTAACAAAGAAAGAAGGAATTAGTTTACGAGCTTACTATTCATTGAGACATGTGAACTGACTCTTCTCTGCTCTCAAAAATAGAAATCCTGGTCCTTTTAATCAAAATGAATAGTTTTCAACCTCATGGACTTTACATTGTGGGGTATGAAGGTCAGTTATGAGGTTCATCCCATTACTGCTAATTGTGGTTAAAGTATTGACATTAATATTAATATAAATATAAGGTTGAATTCTCAAGTACTGTCTTGATTGGGCATGAAAAAAAGGGCAAGGTTGCAGAAAATGAATTGGCAACTTGGGAATCCCTAGCGTATTTCCCATAAGGGCAGATCTCTGGTAACATGTTGGGCAAATGCTATAAGAGGCCCACTTGTGTAAGCCATGCAATCCTCAGCCCTTGCTTAGTAGCTCCTTAAAATGTCCCTTGGGTGTTTCATTACTTCAAACTTGGGTTTTTGTAATGAAAACTATAATGTCCTTAAGGCCAAAGGGCTGTGACTTATGAGTCCCTGAAACCCCTGGCATGCCTGGGAATACTGCGTAGGTAAATAAGCCCTCACGGCCTGAGCCAGTTGCTCAGTGTTTAGAGCATCTGCCTGTGGACTGAAGGATTTGATTCTGGTCAAGAACACATACCTCAGTTGCAGGCTTGATCCCCGGCCCTGGTCAGGGTGCGTGTGGGAGGCAACCAATCAATATGTCTGTCTCACAGCGATCTTTCTCTCACTCTGTATCTCCCCCTTCTTCCACTTTCTAAAAAATCAATGGAAAAATATCCTTGGGTGAGGATTAAAAATACATAAATAAACAAACCCTCACTGATAGATTTATTGTCAAGATGGGCAGGACAAAATAACGCCAAACCACAGTTGGAAAAAACCTACAAATAATAATAAAACTCCCCACAAGTCCTAATCCACTTCTTCACTGTTGCAACTCCTAGGAACACTGATCCCGTCCCAATTCCTCTTATTCTATAATGAAAGGTGGTAAGAACCAGGAAGTGAGGGGGGTGTGATTATGCTAAGTAAAATAAGTCAGATGGAGAAAGACAAATTCTGTATGATCTCACTTATATGTGGAATCTTAAAAAACAACAACAGACTCATAGAAACAGAAAATAGTGGTTACCAGGCACTGGTGGTGGGGATGGGGAAATGTTGGTCAAAGAATATGAACTTTGGGGGATCTAATGTACAAAATGGTTAATAATACTGTGTTATATACTTCAGAGCTGCCAAGAGAGCACAACTTACATGTCCACAGGTAATGCTCTGGTGGTAATGGTTTTACAATATCTAAGTGTATCAAATTAATACGTTGTACACCTTAAACTTAAACAATGGTATATGTCAATTAGATCTCAATAAAGCTGGTGGGGGGCGGGTGTTGGGGGGAGACGTGAGGGACTGGTTTGAGGTTTATTGAGTGTTGACTCCTGTTAGGGGAGACCCCTGTTTGCGGATCTATTTTGAGTTCAGAGAGTGGCTTTTATGGCATCAGTCACCTCCAGGGGGCAGGAGAGAAAGTGGCATGAATGGAAGTAAGGGCAAACTCAAAAGGACTGTGTGAATAAATGACATGGTCCTTGGCACCTAATAGGTAGGCTGTACATGTTACTTAAATCTGAAAGTTCTAATGTCCTTTAAAGTGATTTCTTAATTACAGAAGTCCATGTTCAGTGTAGAAAAATTAAAAAATACAGAGAGGCAATTGTTAATTCGTGAATCTCACCATAAAAAAAAAAAGCATTGTTAAAATTTTGGTAGAGCATATTCTATTCCCTATGTATGCATACCCTTACCCCCAAGTGGGATTTTATTATTTTATATTTCTCATAACTTTAATTGGTAATATCCACTTTTTAAGCTCAACATATGGATCATGAGATGAGGAGAAAACTCTACCCAGTGTTCTAATTTTGGCTCTGACCTAACCAGCCCCTGGCAAGCAGCACAGCCTCTCTGAGTTTTAGATTCCTCATCTGTGAAATAAAGAATTTGAAGCCAATGCTACCTAAGGCACCTTCCACCTCCATCATTCTAATTGCTGATGAGTAATTAAAGGAAGACAGTGTGGTACAGTGCTTGTTGCTCTGGCATCAGCTAGATTTTAATCCAAGTTTTACGTGGGAGGTTGTGGGCAGATCTTGACCTTTAAATGATGCATTATCGTTCCTCTAAAATGGCACTAACAGCCCTAGCTGGTTTGGCTCAGTAGATAGAGTGATGGCCTGTGGACTGAAGGGTCCCGGGTTAGATTCCAGTCAAGAGCACATGCCGGGGTTGCATGCTCGATCCCTAGTAGGAGGCATGCAGGAGGCATCCGGTCAATGATTCTCTCTTATCATTGATGTTTCTCTCTCTCTCTCCCTCTCCCTTCTTTTCTGAAATCAGTAAAAATATATTTAAAAAATAAATAAAATGGGACCAATAATGATACACACCACCTAGGGTTGTTGTGAAAATTAAAAAGATAAGACATAAAACACTTAGAGCAGTGTTTGACACACAATAAAGGCTCAACAAGCATTTATCAGTAGCTCTTATCAGTACCTTAGCTCAGGTTCTGGCCTCCAGTGGTAACAGTGAAAATTAATACTAAGGCGTGGAGCACTGGCCAGAACTGATGTGGGTTGAATACCTGTGCTGGGCACTGTGCTGCGTGTTCTCATCTGCACAATCTTATGTAATAATCAGAACAATCTTACTCTCTATCTGCATGTACAGGTGTGAAAATTGAGTCTAAACGTGCCTGGATTCGTGTAGCTCAGTGGTTCTCAACCTTGGCTGCACATTAGAATCACCTGGGAATCTTGTTAAAATCCTGATTTCTGGGCCTCATCATTAGTAACAAAGAAACAGAATTTCCGGAGGATGAGGCCCAGGAATCAGGATTTTAACAAGATTCCCAGGTGATTCTAATGTGCAGCCAAGGTTGAGAACCACTGGTGTAGCAAACTCAAAGAATACATGCTTTCTGCTAGCTTTGATTGGGCTGAGGGGCTACTGAATTGCTCTAGTTCAGTAGTTCTCAACCTTCCTAATGCCGCGACCCTTTAATACAGTTCCTCATGTTGTGGTGACCCCCAACCATAAAATTATTTTCGTTGCTACTTCATAACTGTAATTTTGCTACTGTTATGAATCGTCATGTAAATATCTGATATGCAGGATGTATTTTCATTGTTACAAATTGAACATAATTAAAGCATAGTGATTAATCACAAAAACAATATGTAATTATATATTCAATATATATTCTTAGGCGACTCCTGTGAAAGGGTCGTTTACCCCCAGAGGGGTCGCCACCCACAAGTTGAGAACCACTGCTCTAGTTGGATATTTCATTTCACAACTCAAGCCCCAGCATTTTAGTATCTTCCCCAGTGATACTCAGAAGGTATTTCTTTTTCTTCATTCTAATCACGCCACTTTAACAATTCCACTGGTTGACAGCTACTTAAAAGACACAAGGAATTTTGTATTTTTTAACTGACCCCTGGATATTGACGTTAACAGAGGATGTGAGCTTTATAAAAAGAATTCGTCCTCGTCTTAGAAATATAATTTTATGGTTGTAGCTGATGGTCTAAAAACTCCCCAACCAAAACAAAATAACAAAACCTCAGTGAACGTAACTGGCTCGCAGAGTCATGAAACTGAAGAGTGTGATATTTTAACATGTTGGTTTCCACACCACTGCCGAAGGACGGCCGAACGGAGTCGAGGGATTTGGGTTGACCAACTGGCTCTGTGGTTGACCGGCCATGGGAGCGGAAAAGGCCACTTCATTTCTGGCGTTGGGGTTCTCTACCAGGGAGAAAAACTGAAGACTAGATCGCAATACCAAGTGCCTTCTCATTAAATGCCACCTCCCTTTATGGGGCGGGTGGGCTTAATTAGCGACGTCAGTTAGAGAACGGTTCCTTCCTGGCAGCCTTCAGGCTACCGCGGGCTGCGTGTATGGATTGCCCTAGCTAATCAAAGTATACGCAGCCAACTTCTTGCGGGAGAAGATGCAAGAATGCACCTAGCAATGAGCAAGATGAACGTTTCAAATACTAAAAGCCTGGGGAAAGAGCCCCAGCTTTCCGTGCTCAGAGTGAACTGTGCACAGACGCCTCTAGACTCTCAAGGCATTTCCTTCCCAGCAGCGGGGCTGAGCTGGCGCCCGGCCTGGGGGAGGTTTGCGGCTTTCTCCCTGGGCCACAGCCCTCCCCCCGCC